CGACATTGCCATTGCTCAACATTGTTTTCGTCGCGGAACAGCTCAGCAAAGAGCGGCCGATTTCTAACAACTTATTTTTCTGTGAAAACTTCGTAGAACTTCGGAGACATCATTAATATAAATAATTTTAATCGCCGTTGAATAAGAAATGTTTCTTTCACAAGAAATGTATAAAATTACAGTACTGTATTAGACTTACGGTACCTAATTTACATACTGACAGACGATAGTTAGCGTAAAAATCTCCGTAGCGTGGCGCCACGCTAGACGGCGGAAATTATATATTTAATTATAACAAAGTTACAATAAGTTAATATATAATTATATATACAGTACCTAATTTATATATAATTAATATATAATTATATGTACAGTACCTAATTTATATATAATTTATATAATACTGTCCAGACGATAGAAATCTCTCCGTAGCGTGGCGCTACGGACGGCGGGAAAGTAGTTCGGTTTCCCGATGACGTTTGAGGTGTTTATAGGGAACTTTTACTACTTTTTACGGATACCGGTAGCAATTTTTTCGTAGTTTTATAGGAATCGTAACTATAGGGACCGTAATTATAGGGGGGTCGACTGTAATGTTATTTGTACTAAAGTATTTAAAAATAATGATTCATTAAATTTTACCATTTTTTAGCTCTTTTAACACCCTCATTTTCAATCAAATCTTCTGTTTCTCTAATGCCAGCAGTATCTGAAATATGTACAGGATAACCACCAATATTAAGTGAACAAGAAATAACATCTCTAGTTGTTCCTGGAACTGGAGATACAATGGCAGCTTCTCTTTGGCCTGCATAAATATATGATATTGAGAATATTAAATATTAAGATAATAATCAGTACAAAATTAAATTAAGAATACTGTTTATAAATTAATAATAAAATATAAAATAAGAATATATAAATCATAGCTTCCAAAGCTGTAAATGCTTATAATAAATAATACTACACTTTTGATAATTTTTCCTACAACAATTTAAAAAACCTGTATCAGATCTCTAAATTGTGTGTAAAAAGCTGAGGCAAGTCCCTAAAAGGGGGTTGAAAACATTTGTTTGTTACATTAAATCATTGTTGGAAAAAATAAAAAAGATGTGGTGTCATTTAGTTTAAGAATATACAGGTGTAAATAATCAGTACAAAATTAAATTAAGAATAGCTAAAAATATACAGTTTCTTCTATGTATAGATTATTTAAATTGTTATGCTAGTTTATATCAAATATCAATTCTAATAAGAAAAAATTATTTGATTTAATGAACTATCAAGTACCACCAAGTAGATATCCAATTTTTATCAGGTTAAGGAAGAAAAATATTTCCTGAGTTCACCATGAAATTGTATCCATATGCAAATGAAAGGATAACTCGTATCAACCACCAGAGGGCTTGAACCTGATAAAAATTTGATATCTACTTGATGGTACGGTGAGGAGACTTATTTGTTTTTAATGTAAAAGACGTCAGAACCTCAAATAAAAGGTTGACGTTTTGATCATTTTTAATTTGTGAGTTTTTACCTATTTATTACTTGTTTTTATTGAAGTTTTTCTTCAAACCAATGTTACAGTTACTTCTGTGGTTGTGTTAACGGATTAATAGATAGACTCAAAAATTAAATTTTTTGTAAATAGTCTGAACTTCTAATTGGAAGTAAAATTGCCAAAGTCCCAGATGCTGCATATTAGGGCTTTATCATGGTGTTTATCACTGGTATAAATAACAAAACTGAACTCAACAATAAAGACATTTGAAATGCTTCTACTGTGTAGAACAGTGTGAGGACCCGGACATAGCCCTCCCCCCAAAAGGAAAGATATANTTGGAATATAAATATTTTAAATTTATTTAATTTAAAATATTTATATTTAAAACTTTAAAAGAACGTGAAAGATTAATTTTTTTAACAATTTAAATATGGCCAAAGAAGAGAATCATATGAAAGGGTTAAAGGGAATTGAATTTTGTTGGATGTCCAAAGAGGAGGAGGGGTTACGAAGACTTGGACAATGGAGAAGGAGAAATAAAATTTTCAAGATAAATGCGGACGTAATTTATGGACAGCCCCTAAATTGGAATTTTAAAATGTATACTGAATCAAGACGTAACCTTTCAGACACACGTGTTTTTTGTTATGGAATATTTTCCCGGCGGAGATCTTTACCTACACGTTCGAAATACTTCATTATCCGCTCTTCAACAGCAAGCGATCTTTTACAGTGCCTGCGTTGTGATGGCCGTAGAATTTCTACATTCTCACAACATTATTCACAGGCAATTACTTCTAAATCGATAGAATCCGAATAAGATCATTTGGCATTTTTACGTAAACTAATTATTAAATATTCTTTCTTCAGGGATCTGAAACTTCAAAACATTTTAATGTGCAAAGACGGATACGTGAAGGTAACGGATTATGGTTTGAGTAGAAAACTGTATCCCGGTTATTACGCTCATTCGGTATGTGGCACGTTGACTCATATGGCGCCGGAAGTATTAAATAAGGAATTGTATACCAAAGCCATCGATTGGTGGTCGATGGGAATAGTACTGTACGAGATGTTAACAAAAAAAGTATTTCTTTTGCTTTTATTTTTGATTTTTAAATTAATTTTTGGTTTATTAATGAGTTATTTATAGTGTCCCTTTATGGGTCGCGAGAAGAAATCGATTTTGAATCTCATTTACAAGAACGACATCGATTTTCCGCCATATTTGAACGCCGGTTCCGTCGATATTATTGGAAAAGTAAATAATAAACTGTCTTCTCTAATGCTATTATTAGTAATAATTTACATTATATCTCGTTCGTACTTAGTTCTTAAAGAGAAATCCGGACGAACGACTCGGAAATCGAATAAGTGGAGTGGAGGAAATCAAGCAACATCCTTTCTATCAAGTATTATTCAAAAATCTTCAATCTTCTTTACATAGACGTTTTCAGAAATAAATTTCTAATTTACTAGAACATATTTTACGCGCAGATTTCAAATTATCATTTGTTTTTACACGTAATATAAATAACAACGATATTTTGTTTAACAGATAATTGATTGGGACGACCTCATACAAAGAAAATTGCAACCTCCATTTATTCCAACGGTGAGTAACTTAATATAAGTAAATAAGTTATTTATGAAAAGAAGCTTTCTCATATATATACTGTTCTTTTTCTTTGAAACTAGATGTCTCATTTACAAAATAAAGTAGAAAGAGAAACGGACAATTGGCCACCTTTCACTAACGAACAAACGGACTCCTTTATCGATACCGATCTAGACAACTTCTCATATTTGGCCAATTGGTTACAAGTTACAACCTTATGATAAATCAACGACGTTCTTCAGTACTCTAAATTGCCATTAATTAAATTATAAAATCTCTAATTTTTGTTTTTGAGTGAGGAAATTCGTTTAAGTGTAGTTTCTGGAAACTTGTAATTAGGAATGTTTGTTGGATGCAGAAAATTTAGCAAGAAAGAACATAACAAAAAATAAAATAAAATTATAAAAAATAAGAACGTAATGCGATAATTATGAGCATGCATAAATTTGTACAGCATTATAAATTTATTAATCTATATATAAATGAGAATGTTTGTTTGTTTGTTCGCTATACACTCCTAGGCCGTTCGACTAATTGCTACGAAACTTAGCAGTTACGTTTATATACCCTTAACTTTGATAATGTCGTAGATCTTTTCATCGCACATAACAATATATAATTTTAACATTATTTTCAGATATATAAAACTATAATTAACATGTAGAGGCTGTCCATAAATTACGTGAGTTATGTAGATAATCATTACGATATATTAAAAGGGAATAGGGTGTTTACAAAAGCGTTACGTAATGCTAGAGTCTCAATTCTTGAGTAACAGAGTAATTCATTTTGTTTCTGAAGTGTTGCGTAACAAACCGTATTGTTCATGTCACTGCTTTTGTACATTATACGTATAATTAATACTGTAATACAACTCATAGACAAAAAATTAGAATACTCACCTAACTGAAAGTTTAATGTACATTTTTCCATGAACAATACAGAGTACAAAACTTTTTTCGACACTACATAAACAACGTATATACAGTATATATTTATTATGCCCATTAATCAGACAAATTAACCCAAACTTTTTTTGTTACCAATGGGAATGAAATGACAAAAAAATAGAATAAACTTTGACTGTGACAAAATATTAGAATATTAGCAAAAACAGCCAGACAAACAGCCATAAATAACTAAATTGTGATGCAAATTTGCATATTGCTAAGCAGCGCAATATGCAAATTTAACAGGGCATATTTAGCAGCGCAATATGCAAATTATAACAGGGGCATAAGCGCGACATCAATGACAGAATTAAAGATAGTATCATAGCCTTGCACAAAGCAGGAAGAATACAAAAAGAAATTGCGAATTATGTAAAGTGCTCGCAGCCAACAGTCTCTAGAATACTGAAACAACAAAACCCTGTTCAAGATTTAACTAACACACTTCAGAAATGTGGATGTAAACGATCAACGACTGCAAGAGATGAGAGAAACTTGAGGATTGTCGTGAAAAACTGCTTTAAAAGCGTTAATCCGAATCATGTCCGACAGATTGCAAGCAGTGATTATGGCAAACGGCGACGCCACAAAATATTAAGATTATTTTGTTGTATTTCCTACAGTATATTTAACCTACATTTAGCTAATATTCTATTTTTTGTCATTTCATTGCCATTTGTAAGAAAAAACGTTTGAGTTAATTTGTCTGATTAATGGGTATAATAAATACAGTATACATAGGCATTGTTTATGTAGTATTCTCACTCTGTATTATTCATGAAAAAATGTACACTAAACTTTAAATTAGGTGAATATTCTAATTTTTTGTCTAGGAGTTGTATAATATAACGTTCAGTATGTTGTGCTGAGTATTATTCCTTAGTACAATTAAGAAGATTAACCGAAGATATGCGTTACGTAATTTTGGGAATGGGTATCTGGGACAGTATTATAGAGCATTACAGAGGGTGGAATGCAGTGTCGTGACGAAAAACTATAGGGCCCCTCGCAAATTTATTGATAGGCCCATTGCAGATCCATAAGCACACTCAAAATCAATAACTAAAAATTGATTTTAAATTCAAATAAATTATTTACTGTTATTTTTTAAAATTTACTTTTTTTTGTAAGATTTTCTATTACTATGTATAAAATCTCATAAATCTATATCAAAGCTTCCCAACGGAGTCGGTATCGACCCCTAGGGTCAATGACAGTTTGAAAGAGGTCGATGAGCAAATTAAGTACATATTGCATATGCATATATAATAATATTTTAAATATTGTTTAATGATTTAGTAATTATAATCATTTAAAATTTATTGAAAATACTGTATTTACTATTATTTTCAAAATTTTACAAATGCAAAAAAAAAAATGTATTAAAAAAATAAAGTATATATTTATTTAAAGGGAGTCAACGGAAAAAATTTTCTTGAAAGGGGGCAATATATGAAAAAGGTTGATAACTCCTTATCTATATAGTCCAATTATGTTAATTACTTTCATGAAATTTAGAAAGCTGTAAAATCCATTAAGGAATGTTTTGTTTATGTTCCTATTACTGCCACACATGTTTCCTTTTCAATTGATATAAATTAATTTTGTTCAATTCTGAAAAAAATAGGACAATTTGTCATGAATATATCTCTGATGTCAGAAATATGTTTTTAGAGAATTTTTGGATCGATTCAGAAACTTTAAGCTTTTCAACTTTGCAAATATTTAAAAACTTTCTAGAGAAGATATTTTATAATATTTGAATAAATGAAAACAGACCTGAAACTGAAGCCAAAAATTTTTTTAAAGAATATATGGCTCCATGTACCAGCAAAAAAATGGAAGCTTCAGTTCCAAAGGCCTACAGAAAAATATAGGAGTAAGGATGTAAAGGTGAGTGGCTGAGATTTCTTAATTAAGATCACACAAAAATTTCATTATAAAATTTCTTATTCTTTATTTATTATTTTTAAATATAATTATTTTCCAATGCAAAAATCTTTAAAAATAACATCTAAAATATCTTCTGTTGTTACTTTTCCATTTATTTTACCCAATTGTAACAATCCTTTACGAAGATGATGTGCAGCAATCACAATATCCTTATCTATTGTATCAAAATAACTGTCTAAGTTGTTTACACAGTTAGCAAGGAGCATCCTATGTCTCTCTCGAGTTAGCATTGGATTTTCCACTAGAGGATTTCCACATCTTAAATTTACAAATATATTTATGTTTATAACATTAACCAAATTAATATAATGAAATATATTTTTATATAAAAAATATATTATAAAATACTTACAAGATTTCAATTTTCTCCTGTAATAATTTTAAAAAATCTTCTATACCTGTTTCTGTTTTACATGAAATTATACAAAGCTGGAATTTGAGTTGTTCTAGATCTTTGATAAACTGTTTCAATTTCTCAATTTCTTTGCAACTCAACAGATCATGTTTGTTTATAACAATAAAAGTCATAGGTTGTTTCTTATTGGCCTGTGAATTTTGAAATTCATTTGATGACATTCTAATATCATTTAAAAGTTGATCAACAACTTCAATAGACCTTTTACCATCTTTCACCAATTGGATTGCTTCATTGGCTTCAATCATAATTATCATTAAATCTGAGTGCAAAGCACTAAAAAAAATTTTTTTAAATTAATATAAAACAAAAACATACAGGAAATTTTATTTAATAATTATTCTTATATCAAAAAGAAAAACACCTTTAATTATTTAAAAATCCAGTAGAGTCCTGATTACTGAGACCTGTTTGTCTGAAGTAAATTTTGAGAGTACTTTGCCACAAAAACAAGAGAACATAGTAAAATACAGTTCATTTCATATATCTTGACCAAGCACAGTATTTGAAAAGAGAACTAAAAGTTTTAAAAATAATTTATTCTAGGACTTCAGATAATATGAATTTTAGAAAAAAGATTAGTGAAATTTTAATTGTAATCAAAAGTTTATGTTTGGTTTAATAAATATAGTTATAAATAAAATTTTAAAAGTGTTTTGCTGTAAATTTAAGTCATTATCATACTTGCCAACTTTTAGAATGGAGAATAGCTAGGATGTTGATAGAAAAACACTGCTTTTTGGATATAAATGCTGACAGCATAAAAAATGAAAAAAACCTCTTTATTAACATTACTATTGCAAAATGCTTATATTAAATACCTTTAACAAACAAAATTTAATTTTATCTTTGCATATGATATCATGTAAAGCTACTGCCATAAACACTGTCAAGAGTATGGCAATAGATTTATACTCTTTAACATCACAATGTAAATAAAAGTCAAGTATTTCACAGGTCATATCATAAATCCACATCCAGATTTATTGTGTTCCATCTTGATGGGTTATGAGTCTTGATATTGCATGATGAGGGCCTCCGATTATATGTAGGGTTGCCATAATTTCCAAGCATTGATAAGGGACATTTATTTAAGTGCTAAATAAATAAAACTTGAAAAAAGTGGGTAGGTAATGGTTTATTTTACTCTGATAAAAAATCATAAAGTTTAATCAATCTAATAAAATGAACACTTAGAATTATAAAAAAGATGCAAGGCTAATTCCTTTTTAGTTCAGTCATATTTTAAAGTTGAATTTACTTTCTTAATTATATCATTTTCTTCTTTCACAAAATTATAAATTGTGAATTTTGATTTGTCATTATAAAATTATAATGACAAATCAAAATTGCTTCAATTGTCTGCAATGACAACCTGTTTCTTTCTTCCCACTATTGAGTTGACATTATAGAAAATATTCTCTCTACATTTGCATTGTGCTATATGAATATGTATTTGCTATTCCAGCAATAGCAAATACATATTCATATAGCTTTATTAGGCTCAACTTCTGATCAATATGCTTTGTATCTGCAAAAAACTTCAGCCATTTCTCTTCCATAATCAATTTCATAGTTGCTTCACAGTTTTAGTTGGTATTATTTTTCTCTAAATAATCTTTTAGATACACAAACTAGTTGAATAGAATCTCAGTGATACCAATATCGATGTTTCTTACTTGTAAATATACAATAGTACATTTTATTTCTTCCCATTCAGGAACTTGGTTGAGAGTCATGCAGGTCAAACACATTGAATTTTTGGAATGATTGTGACCATTTCTCAATATATTCCATAGCAGTATTAAAGAAATCAATAGCCTGTTTTTTGAAAGTTTCCACTTTGGTGCTGTTTCCAAAATCAAGCTTTAAGTGATTCAAGATTTGTTTTGTCGCCATTCCAATAAAATTGGATTTTTTCTTTCAATCATATTTTGTTTTATCTCTTGTAATACAGCCTTTACTTCCAGAACTGTGATGTTTGGTTTTTCTATTTTTTTAATTTGAGTTTCAAATGTATTGAGCTGTGAATGCAAAAAGCAAAAATAAGCTTCACTCATTGGATCATCAAAAAATTTTGCGACATGCAACGGAGAGAAATTTCAACATGGGATAAATTAATATATTTTTTCATACATGATTCGTTATCCGAACCATCCCAGTCCCCAATTGATTCGGATAAACGACGCTCTACTGTAATTTGGCAGCTAAAAGAATATTTGAAAGTATCACAGTAAACTATCCCGTTCCTGAGCATTCTATGATGCAAATAGATTGCTCCTTTTCAAAAACTGAAAAGAAAAAATGTAGGGTTAAAAAGTTGTCCTCCCCTGACAAATGGATTGAACTTTTCAAGTCAAGCAATAAAAGAAAACTTTTCACATTGCTTTCTTAAACATGTGTGTCTTCAATCTGATCTTCAGCAACGTGAGGGTGATAAAATCATTGTTATACAGGACTGGAAGGCAGGAATAGAGCCAAGGATCAAAAATTACTGGTAGGAAAAGCATTAACGTTAATCTTTGAAACAAAATCACCTATAGTACAGAATAGGCAAACCATAACTGACTCATTTGATTTCACGATACTTGAAAACAAAGGTAATTTCAGAGGAGCTGACATTGGAGCCAGACCAGCTTATAATGGTAATTCTCTACCTACTAAAGAAAGCAAGTTACAGGATGTAAATTATCTTCTTCAGTATATTGATAAAGTGACAGCAAAATGTAAGTTCTATCAGAATCTAGCAGATGATAAAGAGAAAGGAAATACACAATCATTGGAACTAAGAAAATGACCTAACATAACTCTTCATTACTTTGTTTTTAAACTGTTTATGAAAAGCTTTAAGCTTCTTTTTGTCTATAGGTTTATGCCTATTAACTTGAAAATTACTTTTTACAAATACAAGATAAGGACTTTTAAACATTTCAAAATATTATGTTAATAAGTATATAAGTCACATTTCTCATAAAAAAAAATTATACTGATCAAGTGAACTAAAAAAATGGTGATGTATTGGATTATTTTATGACTGTACTTTAGTTTAATATAATTTTGTCTGCCAATATAATTTTTAGTAATATTTTGGAACATAGCCAAAAGAGGACCCTAGTAAAAGACAAATAGCTAGAACAATACACACTACTCATTCCAGTGTATGGCAATTCTTCACGAATATCAATTGTATCCATGCAATTTATGAGTGCACTTGTATCATGATTTTCCTTCACAAGTACAGTTTTATCAATAGTGTTTGTATAGGAATGTTAATCCTCATTTTCTCAGGAATGTTCTATTTCACTGATACATTACACAGTTACATTTAAAAGTGAAAATGAAACTACTAAACTTTGATGCTTAACTTACAAATTAAGCTTTTGATCAAAAGCTAGCTATTAATTTTTTTACATATATCTTAAATGTTTAAGATGTATTAAAGGCAAAACAATTTTAAGCAACTTAAACAATTTAATGTGAAAATAATCATTTAAATTACAGTCGACCCCTCTATAAGATAGAGATACGTTCCATTCTGTAGGAATCCGCTTTCTTACGAATCCTACCAATCACGACCCGACACGTATCAAGTTTACGGACTACGGCTGTTTGAAAGATTTTCTTCCATAAAATTAATCGATTCTAGACTAATCCGACTCAACATTTCCAAAATACGTATATATTTTTTGGGAATAATCCGTATAAACTACGCTATAAACAAAAAATTGTAGGATTACTTACCGAGTGTCACCATTCGACATTGCCATTGCTCAACATTGTTTTCGTCGCGGAACAGCTCAGCAAAGAGCGGCCGATTTCTAACAACTTATTTTTCTGCGAAAACTTCGTTGAACTTCGGAGACATCATTAATATAAATAATTTTAATCGCCGTTGAATAAGAAATGTTTCTTTCACAAGAAATGTATAAAATTACAGTACTGTATTAGACTTACGGTACCTAATTTACATACTGACAGACGATAGTTAGCGTAAAAATCTCCGTAGCGTGGCGCCACGCTAGACGGCGGAAATTATATATTTAATTATAACAAAGTTACAATAAGTTAATATATAATTATATATACAGTACCTAATTTATATATAATTAATATATAATTATATGTACAGTACCTAATTTATATATAATTTATATAATACTGTCCAGACGATAGAAATCTCTCCGTAGCGTGGCGCTACGGACGGCGGGAAAGTAGTTCGGCTTCCCGATGACGTTTGAGGTGTTTATAGGGAACTTTTACTATTTTTTACGGATACCGGTAGCAATTTTTTCGTAGTTTTATAGGAATCGTAACTATAGGGACCGTAATTATAGGGGGGTCGACTGTAATGTTATTTGTACTAAAGTATTTAAAAATAATGATTCATTAAATTTTACCATTTTTTAGCTCTTTTAACACCCTCATTTTCAATCAAATCTTCTGTTTCTCTAATGCCAGCAGTATCTGAAATATGTACAGGATAACCACCAATATTAAGTGAACAAGAAATAACATCTCTAGTTGTTCCTGGAACTGGAGATACAATGGCAGCTTCTCTTTGGCCTGCATAAATATATGATATTGAGAATATTAAATATTAAGATAATAATCAGTACAAAATTAAATTAAGAATACTGTTTATAAATTAATAATAAAATATAAAATAAGAATATATAAATCATAGCTTCCAAAGCTGTAAATGCTTATAATAAATAATACTACACTTTTGATAATTTTTCCTACAACAATTTAAAAAACCTGTATCAGATCTCTAAATTGTGTGTAAAAAGCTGAGGCAAGTCCCTAAAAGGGGATTGAAAACATTTGTTTGTTACATTAAATCATTGTTGGAAAAAATAAAAAAGATGTGGTGTCATTTAGTTTAAGAATATACAGGTGTAAATAATCAGTACAAAATTAAATTAAGAATAGCTAAAAATATACAGTTTCTTCTATGTATAGATTATTTAAATTGTTATGCTAGTTTATATCAAATATCAATTCTAATAAGAAAAAATTATTTGATTTAATGAACTATCAAGTACCACCAAGTAGATATCCAATTTTTATCAGGTTAAGGAAGAAAAATATTTCCTGAGTTCACCATGAAATTGTATCCATATGCAAATGAAAGGATAACTCGTATCAACCACCAGAGGGCTTGAACCTGATAAAAATTTGATATCTACTTGATGGTACGGTGAGGAGACTTATTTGTTTTTAATGTAAAAGACGTCAGAACCTCAAATAAAAGGTTGACGTTTTGATCATTTTTAATTTGTGAGTTTTTACCTATTTATTACTTGTTTTTATTGAAGTTTTTCTTCAAACCAATGTTACAGTTACTTCTGTGGTTGTGTTAACGGATTAATAGATAGACTCAAAAATTAAATTTTTTGTAAATAGTCTGAACTTCTAATTGGAAGTAAAATTGCCAAAGTCCCAGATGCTGCATATTAGGGCTTTATCATGGTGTTTATCACTGGTATAAATAACAAAACTGAACTCAACAATAAAGACATTTGAAATGCTTCTACTGTGTAGAACAGTGTGAGGACCCGGACATAGCCCTCCCCCCAAAAGGAAAAATATAAAAAAATTTGTTAAGTTCAATCGTCAAGAAAACAAATTATATAAATGTCAAATCGGCAAAACCGGACTTTGACGTCAGCGCTCATAGAGAATAACGGGAAAAACAAAATTTTAAATATAAAAGAAGAAAATTTAAAATATTAAAGTTAAGACACAGTTTAGAAGGTAAAACGAAACTAGAGAAATATCAAAATGAGTGTAGGTGTCATAGTCAATAATTAAACGTGATCAGAGTCGAAAGGATGGTGTCGGATAAACCATCTTCAGCCGACCTTTCTCGCAAACTTTACGAAGCTCCACTTACACCTGGAGACAGGTGGAAGACCAATTAGAAAATGGTGATGTAAGGTCTATCCAATTAGCAATAAGCCAAACTCGAAAAACCTATATAAAAGCACCAATTCCAAGGTCAACGGGGACTTCCACTAAGCTTCCACTAAGACTTCCACTAGACTTCTTTTGTGTTCGTGTATCTCCGATTTTTTTCATGCATCCTTTCATCTTTTGTGCATTGACTTTTGAAACTTCGAACTTTTAGCACAACACAGGACCAGATCGCAGCCAAAAACTCCTATGATGCTGGACCAGATTGCCGCCAAAATTCCCTACGACGCAAGACCAGAATCGACACCGAATTTCCTCCAACACAAGACCTTTCCAATGAGAGAATTTATGTAAGCATTATTGTCCGGAATAAACAGTTTGCCTCTGTAAAACACTTGTCTTTGCTGCCTTTAAAAACCGCCACCCACATACACATAGACCTTAGACCATCCCGACGGTAGGGAATAAAAATCTCCCCCCAATCGGCATTCTTACAACAGCGTTTGGAATACTTTTTACCATATCATAAATGTTTAATCATTTTTTGTCTTTGCAAACACTTGTTTTCTATCAGTTGCATAAATGGGATCTTTGCATCTTCTTCAACAAATGATTGATGATTGATCTAATATTATTTAGCTGATAATGTAATACTGTATCACTGTTATTAGTTGAATGTTTCTTTTATCAGATAAACCTTATTAGTCTCATCATTGATATTATTTTTCATATAGTTCAGCTAAAGTAAAACTTTAAGAGCAATTGTCCCAATGGCTTACTTAGAAAAAATGTTAAATTTTTTTTTAGCTATTTCTTTACAGCCAAACAAACCTTGAACTCTATCAAAACATAATCAAGTTGCAATTACTGTATTTAAATTACTGTATTTCAATACAGTAAGTATTTACTGTATTAAAATATTTTAAGTATTTACTTTGTGAGACTGCGGATTTTTAATTGGGAATTTTGTAAATGAAAGGAAACTTTCCTTTTTTTTTTTTTTGTTGATCGAAATTTTGTAAACATCCCCCCTAAACTCCTCCTGGAGTATTGGAGCAGAGGTCTCCTCCAACTATCAACAGTTAGGTGGGAAAGTTGACACTTAGGTGTCAAGAATGCACTGTCATCATCAACAAAAGTTGATCACGTGTTAGATTTTCCACAACAATGATATAAAAGATGCGAGCCACCAGAAGCTCGAGAGTTCACACACGGAAGTTATATTTGGTCATAGTGATTCCTCGTCTCCCACAATGGTAGAAGACATCAACAACGCCCAATGCTTCCATAAAGAACTTTCATCACCGCATATAGGACTCCTCCAACTTTAGAGTAATTATCAGAGGACTGCAAACTCTCTCTAAAAATGGAAATAGGCATAGCTGTCGTAGGATGAACTAAGCAGTTGTCAATCATATTTACTTTGCAATCTTATGTTAATTGCATCTAGCCTATATAACCTACAGATATGCATTTAACTCTGTATAGCCTCCTGTATTTTAGTGTTAGCTGTATAATAAATGTTTTGTTATTTTGTTAAACCTGTCTCCTGTCTCTGAAAGGACATTTGCCGACTTGCTCACCTCCCTCGCCACTCGATAAAAAGCCATTCGGAACAACAATGTGAGCGGTCCTTGCAGACTGTTTTCGAGTAAGTGGTCAAGAGGAATTAACCCTTGGCCCACGGTTTCTCACAACTTTTTTGAAAAATAACTATCAATCCAGGAAAATCAGAAAAAGGGAGAGAGAAATTTTTAATGTAGATCTATTTCATAAAAATTATAAATTTAAAATTATTTTCAGATTTAACATATACTTACAAATAATATTGAGAAGACTACTTTTTCCAACATTAGGTTTTCCTACAATAACTAAATGAACTCCACCACGTATACGTTCTCCTTTTCTATTGTCTAAAAGAGCACTTTCTATTTCTTTCCTCAATTTCTTCAATTCTATATTTGCTGAAGAAAATAATAATATCATGTAACAAAATACATACTGTATGGAATTGTGGTATTAACATGATAATGAAATATTTATTAATGCAATGTTATTTAAATTTTCAATGTACTTTTATGGTCAAATACATTTTTAAAACATTTATGGAATCAAATATAATAATATATTAAAATATTTTTGACAACTTTAATAGATATTTTTTCTGAACTATAAAAATTCAAAATAATTATTTAATTTTAAAATATTATTCTAGCAATAATTTATTGAAAAACTACTGAATCAAGCTGTTTTTATTATACTTATTCAAAATTTTTAATAAAAATATATAAAATGTATTTTTGAAACAATTTATAAAATATTACATAATAATAACAATAACTCTCCCATGGTTACCACCCAGTCATGATAGAAGAGCCCAGTAATTTTACTGATCCATAGAGCAATGCAGGTTGGAGCACAAGCTCCTGGTAGGGACACCCATGCTATGGGGACAAATAAATCTAACAGTGACCACACCCACATTCTGTAGAGAGAAATTTACCATGGTAGTAACCATATCTAGGTGTGATATTGGCTTGGACATCAACTGGTTAACAAGATCCACATTTGTGGGTTAGGATCACATTTGAAAAATAGGTCACAGTTTCCCTTGTTACCAATGGCAAAAGTAATGCTGGCCCAAGCATGACTACTGCAATGCCCTCAACAGATGTGAGGAATCAACCTAGCCTTGGTGTTTCTGTGGCAATGCATCCACAGACCACAAAGGCTGTAAAAACATGCCAATGGATGAAATAGACAATGGAAATGAATGAGTTTATCATCCGTACTTACTACACCATCATAAGACTTGAAACAAACATGACAGCATACAGATAACAACTACACCATAGATTCACACAACAATATCCTCACCTCACTGTCACTGAACAAAGGGTTGTTGATCAAAAAAGAACAGTTATACATAACAACCTTATCACACAAATGTCACACAAACTTATCAAACAACAGGTTGCTGATCAAATACATCAACAGACAGAACATTTAACATTAATGAAGATCACATAATCTGCCACGATATCCAGCAACAAGCACTGATAATAGCACATGCACAACAATTACTATTAATGATACTATAGACACTTCCTCATCCACCACTGATAGCATAGACATAGATTTAGTTAATACACTCTCACTTTTACTTTAGGAAACACTCACTACATATACAGGTACAGATTCCATACAAAGACCATGAATACCAAAAATCAACATGTCAAAGATAGTAGGAAAAACACTAAATTATGTAATCACTCATCTACTACAGTACCATACTACATCCATTTAATTTATATACACTCTCAGACATTCATACATTAGTTTATGCTGGGGCAGTCATAGTAGTGACACACTATGAACTGAAAATACAATTGCAGACAGATACATACAAAACACAATAAGAGTGCTGTAGAATAAATATTGATTTCTTAAGAAATTTATGAGAAAATATTAATGAGAAGAGTAAGAATTGAGACAACTTCCTAAAAGTTTAAACTTTTCAATATTAATAGCAAAATCTGTTAATATTTATAATTTAAAATGAATGACCTGTACTTTGGTATTATTTTAGAAAATTACTAATTATGGTATTAAAGCCGCACCAAATGATTCCTGTTATCTGCATTTACATTGTTTTATTTGTCTTTCTCATTGGTTTGCATGAATGTTGGAAGAACTCTAAAAAATAAAAAAATAAGCAATCATTATTGGAGTGAAGCTCAATGCAAGAGCAAATAAACTAAGAGTATTTCAATGCATCATTTTCCAAAAGATCTGAAGTTACAAAAACAGTAAGGCTGCATGTTCAAAAAGTTTGAAAAGTGTCAAAATTCCTCTGTTTCCTCTTTTCATTTTCATACGACTGATACATATTTCCATGTAAAATATGTTTAATCTGTATTTATTACCTCAGAATAACCTTATATAGATAAAATATATTTTAAAAAGTAATGAACCAATACAATGATAAAATATTATTTGAATATCACCTTATATTAGATTGTGTGAAATCATTCACTGTTCTTTAATTTGTATCACTGGCCAATAGATTAAATATATATATTGCCATTATATGACAATTTAATTGTTTTACTATTAGTATAACAGTGTGGAGTTTCTTTTACATTCTTTAATGGCTAATTTTTTACATATAAATATTATTGTTCTTATTTTATAATCCTAAACAATTAGAATTGAGTGTCTCATTCAGCAATTCCAACATCCAATAGTTAACAATGACAAAACTATTTTATTAATTACACTTTGTTACTGTACATGAATTTTGGACTAACATAACATTCAGTCCCACATCAGTGCTATGAATTAACTACTGATATATAATGATTACACTTCCACTACAGAATACTTTTAACACCAACATTAATTTCTGATTTCCAAAAATCAGAAATTAATGTTGGTGTCAAAATGTTACATTTGTCCAAAATTGATATGAAATTCTTGTTAGGGTCAATTTTTTCACTCAATGAGCTTATGTGGGGTCAACCAAACGCTCCCTTCACAAAAGGCTGTGTGAGCACAAACGTGACATCGACAATAAAAAGCACACCACCGCCCTCTCAACGGTTGCCACTGAACCGGGAATCACGGTCGACATACAAAATGTCCACTTGATCAGGCTCTCACATCGCACTGATCAACTGAGAACGATGGAAACTTTAGAAATATACAAGGCAGGATTACTTGGCACGTGCATCAACTCCAGGGATGCAATCGGTATATCTAGCGCGTGGAAGTCTTGTTATGAAGGAACTCATCCCCATAATTGAGTGTGTATAATTCGTCTGCTTCTACCGTTACGCAAACTTGATATTACACGTGCATTACAGTCGTTTTAGCGTGTGCGTAACATTCCATGAGTATTCTTAAATCTGTTTATAAATTTTGAATCGTATACGTTCCGTTCCAAACGCATTCGAATTCCTAATTAAGTAGCCTGATGAAGACCTCGATGAGGTTGAAAACATTTGCTAAGGTGTAAACACATACCACTGGAGCTGTAAAGGTTGTTTCAAGTGCTGAATTATAACTCCTCTAGTGTTGGAAGACATTTATTTCAATGAGCTTTTTCAACCTTTGAGCCTAACATATATAATATGTTCAATTGCTGTGTGTGTGTATGTATTCTTAACTGAAAGAATAAATTATTCTTTAAAAATATAATTATAATTGTATTTAAAATAGCAGCTATTTTGCTTTAAGTCATTATTTAAAATGTTAATAACATAATAATTTTTATTATTCATTGACATAAACAAATTAATATTACCTTAATTCAACTATTGTAAATGGATACTAAATAACTTGCAAATATAATATTAAAACCATGTAATAGCATGAATGTATAATTAATTTCCTGTCATAATAATAATTTAATTGGGATATAAATATTTAAATTTGGATTTTTAATTAACATGTAAATTATTTCAATAATATTTTCAAATGTATGATTATAAACTCACTTCTTAAATAAATATACAACTAAATTTCCTTTTATTAGACTAAATATTTTATGGTAGAAAAATAAATATAAGTAAATATCAATAAATAAAAATCAACTTATATTTTTATTTATGAAAAGACTGAATACCTTAATTCAATCTTTTCATAATTCACACAAAAAATTAGAATTATTACCATTATCTAAAACATCCAATTCAATGTTTTCATCTTCACCAAAGTCAATAAAAGCTTCTACATTTGCCATACACTAAATTAAAAATAAATTGAAAAATATTTTTGTAATATTTTAAACTATAATAAATAAAAAAGCAATAAGTAACAAAAATTCAAAATATATTTCTTAATTTAGTTGAACTTATTATCTCTTTAGAAATCTGCATTTCAAAAATCTAAATAAAACTACAAATAAATTCAAAATAATATTTGCCTTTTTCAATTTTTGTTTCCAAATGTCATATTTTTTATATAAAATTCCATCCAATTGTAATAAAGCTTGATGTCTTTGCATTTCTGTTTCTGCTTGTAAAAGATCTGAAAGACCTTCAACTTGAGTTAAGTCAAATTTTCCATTGAAAAATGCCCTGAATGTCAATGTTTTGAAATTTCATAAGTAAAATCCAAAAAACTAAATTATATTTTATTTGATATTTAATACTTTATATTAATTGAATTATATACTTATAAATCAACAAGAAATTCACACCCTTTTTAATTAATAGTTTGTTAGATTAATGTACGTACAGTATATTATCTGAAGAAAAAATATATCAGTAAAAGCTAAGAGAGATTTACTTATTGAGAAAATTAATTATTATAATTTTCTCCAAATAAATTGATTTTTATATGGTATATAAAAGCATAGTGCAAAAATCCACATTTTTTTGGATTAAAAAATCCATACCATTTTGTTTTTTATGTACTTTCCTCCATATCAATCTTAATAAATCGATCAATTTTAAATCAACAGTCTATCTGTAAAACTTCTCTATTATTGAAGTAGTATTCAAATTTTAATCTCAAATAGTAAATATTCTTATGTTAAACATTTCATTTGCTAAATAACAAAAGAAATTATTTGAAAATGTTTTAAAAATACTAAAAATATAACACAGTGGCTCTCTCAAAGCAATTTTTATTAAACACAACTTACAGAATCTCTTAAATTTATAATTTGAAGCACTTTTTTTAAATCTCACTCACTATTCTAATATAAGGAGATCCTATGTGACCAATATGCAAATAACAAGATTTACTGTTAGTGATCCATATTACTGTATAAAGGTTAAAATGTAATTTTTAATTTTATATAATAATATTTTTAGATTATGATTTTTGTATAAAGTATTGTGGTTTTATGTAAAATATTATCCAAACAAAAACATTTGAGATGTAAAAAATTGCATCAAGTAAAACTTGTGACAATTTAGACAACAGTCAAATGTTTTCTTAGGAGGTTTTCCTTGTTAAAGATAAACTTGGCACTTGGAAGCAGTATCCACAAGATTTTTACCTGTATTATTGTTTTCTACATTTTGCTTCCAAATGCCATGCTTATCTTTACCAAAGAAAGACTCCTAAGACAAAATTTGATTGTTGTCTAAATTGTCATAAGTATTTACATCTCAGATTTTTTGTTTGGATATCAATTGTTTTTTGGTTAATAATTGTATTATTACATCATGAGATAAGACAATGATATACAATTCAGTCGGTACTCAATGACTGTCAACTGAATGTTTTCAATATTCATTTCGGTCAGCACCAACTGAATGCACTGCCAACCAAATGCTTTTGATATACTGTTTCAAAAAATCATTATAAAAAGTTTTAATCGGAATAAATTTCAGCTTTTGTTATTCTGGATAACATTTTGAACAGAAATAATTTGTTTAAATGCAATTTTATCCTTGTAAGCATAAAATTAAGCTATAGAACTGAAATTGCTCTATGGGAAACTCCTGTGAAATCTTTTGACCTATTGACCCAAAAGTTTTGCCAGTCCCTCGTGATAACGAGAAAGGCTTAAGTTTAAAATCTATGCTTTCTAGATCCAGTAGTTTTTCTCTATGAGCATCTGTAGTGCCAGAAGAAGAAAAGAAGAAGAAAATACAAATTTTTTTTTGGTGATTTTTGCAATTGTTTACATTTCAGCAAGTGCTTTATAGAAAATCTTGAAATTTTTTGCACATTGCCTAAGAAAACAATTATCTTTTGAACAAGATATTCAGAATTACTTCAGCTGTTTGAGGAAAGAGAATGGTGACCCCTGAAAATCAAAAATCTGATTCCTCTATATATAATCAGTCAGAGACTTTTTTACTTGGTGGGGAGTCACTGCCATGACTCTCAATGTAATTTAGAGAAATTTTGCAAAAAAACTTACTGATGTTGGTCTCTCTGTCTGAAATGCAATTTGAGGAAATGGCAGAGTGCCTTATATTATAATTTTAAGAATTTCTGTAAACAGTATTTAATAAAAATTACCCTCAACAGACAATAGTTCCTAATTCAGAACTAAAAGAAAATGAAACAACACATTGAACCATTGAGATAAATAATACAATGGAATGTCAATTATGAAATTATCGAAACATCTCATCTCTTTTTGTTTTTTGGCCCATAACTAACTGAGAAGATAAAACCATTGAATACTGAAAGTTGTGGGTTTGTGCCTCACCAATGTGTGCACTATTTCTAATGCACACTGATGTGTTTGCTATATTAAAAACAGAATTGAAAAGTATGCTAATAATTACATAGTGCTTTAACACTTCTTCCAGCAGTCATTTTCTAAATAATACAAATGTTTCAGCCTCTTCAGCACCCCTCTTCAGGTATATGAGCAGAAAAAATTTGAATAAGCTTCCAAAAGTTCCAAGAAATTTTAAAGCAGCCAATGATGTTGGAATATTCTATGAATTTGGAAATTTTAGAATTGGCAGACATCCAATGAAATTTGAATTTATTTGACATTTGTATTATTAAGAAAGCAACTGTTGGAAGAAATGTTAAAGCACTAGGTAATTATTAGTTATCTTGGTTCTATCTTCTGGAATGTTTTGATGGTGTCCTATGCAATTATTTCTCTTAAAATGAATCAGAGATCTCACTGACCTTCATCAAAAACCTTTCAAAAATGAAAATCAATCCTGGTACAAATAAAAATCAGCAACTACTTTTGCAAATAAGGTGTTGTATTACACTTATTTCATTTTTTATAATACTATATTGTATGACAAACATGTCAATATTCAATTATCCAAACATTCACACATCTGAGCTGTGCTCAGTTTCAATTGATTTGGACATTTCATGTTCCACTGTTGTATTATTACAGTGAGACATCAAATGTCCAAATCAATTGGGATTAATCCAAATAAAAAATACTGTAACTTATGACATCCAAAACATTTTCAAAAATATAAGCTTAATTAAAATTCTCAAAAGCAGAATATCACAATTCTGAAAGAATAATGTCTAAAGAAAGAAGTCTTTAATATTAGAGATTAAGAGTACAGTCAACCCACCTATAACGCGGGTTCATATAATGCGGATTCGTATACCGCGGCAAAAAAATTGCAACCCGTATTCGTATAAAAACGCTAAAAGAGACTCGTAAAATGTGGTAAAACGTCATCACTGACTCATGACAGGATTGGGCAAATCTGGACCAATAGTGGATGAGCAGCCAAACTACTTACATGCTACGGAGAGTTTAGACGGGTAAGTTGAGTTTACTATCGTCTATACAGTATATAAATTAGGTACTGTAAGTCTAATACAGTACTGTAATTTTATACATTTCTTGTGAAAAAAGTCAATGGCCATAAAAATTATTTCTATTAATGATGTCTCCAAAGTTCAGCGAATTTTTCGCAGAAAAATAACTTATCAGAAAACGCGCCCGCCATTTGGTGCACTGCTACATGACAAAAACAAGCTTAAGCAATGGCATTGTCGAACGGTACACACTCGGTAAGTAAATTATAATTTTTTGTTTCTAGCGTAGTTTATACGGATTATTCCCAAAAAATTATACGTGTTTTGGAAATGTTGAGTCAAAGTAGTCTAGAATCAATTAATTTTATGGAAAAAAACCTTTCAAACAGCTGTAGTCTGTAAACTGCACACGTGCCGGGCTGTGATTGGCTCATGTATTTAAGGATTCCTGCAACGTGAAATTCTTATAAAGTGGAACGTATCTACCACGTTATAGGGGGGTTGACTGTATTTATATCTTACTGGAAATTGCTTTCTAAAAAGAATTATATGAATAAAGAACAAAACAAAAAAATTAACAGAATGACTTTTTAATCAAGGTTTAAATATTTTAGCAATACACTTTTATTCTTCTAACTCATTAGATAATAATGATTAGAATTACAATAAGTTTAAAAAATGATGAGTTTATAAATTTTTAAATCAAATAGAATCTCACAAAAACATCCTATTATACAATATTTGGCATGATTATCAATCTATAGTATACTCACAAAAACTTTACTATTAATAGTCAAAGTTCAAATTATTGTTGATGGACTAAGTAAGTTGAAAATATTTTGAGTATTTTGTGCATAAATTCTACTTATTCAATCATTACCATCATGACCTTTTATATTTTCAACATTTGAAAACTCAAATCTCCTTTCCTATTGTGGATAATTGGAAAACATTAATAAGTATTAAAAAATTATATTTTATGGAGAAAAATTATAATATTTATAGGAAGCATATTTTAGGCTAAAATATTTATCTTTAATCTACTGAAGCAATTCCAATGGATATTCTTAAAACAAATAATGTTATTGTAAATATATTTATTAATAGCTATGTATTTGTAAATGAAATTAATAATAATACATTCATAGAACATAATACCTTTTCGTAAATTCTCCTGGTTCTGCTATACAAAATCCTGGCAGTTTTGATAAACTTCTTTGTACAGAAGTTATAACAGCTATTCCTCCATGAACATGAATTTCACACATATCTTCCCCACTGAAACTATTAGGAGCTAAAAAAAAATTATTAAACTTTAACTGTGGTCATAAAATCTAACATAAATAAATTACAAATTTATTATAATAAAAATTAATCATCATTTTAAACTGAATTTGAAACTGTTGAACAGAAAATAAATATTTAATTGTTCTTATAAACAAATATGAATTAGACAGAATTAGATAACCTAATAAATAGGGTATAACAATTTAGTGTGATAAGCCCTGCAAATTGTTATACCCTATTTATTATGTTATCTAATTCTGTCTAATTTATAGTCGAGGGCAAAAAAGCATTGTTTATTATTACAAATATGAATAATCATAAATATTTTTAAAGTATAAATAGAAAAGATTTAAATAAATCATCTATAAGTTATTAAATTCCTTTTTTCCAAAATGCTAAAATTATAGATATTTCTTATTTCTGCACATATTGTTTATAAGATTATTGATATTTTATTTAAAAAACAAAATGTAATTTCTTCACAATATGCCATTTTTATTACTTTCCTGGCTGTTATATATAATAGAGAAAAAGTATGACAATCAGTCAAAAAATGATCCTCTCCAAGAATTTTATATTTTTGGACTTGTAGACCTTGAAACATCAAGATCAATGCAAAATGCAAAAAAATTTGGAATTTTTTTGTATAGTATCATATGATTCTGTAATGTGAAGTGTAGTCATGACTGCTATATAGTGGATTATCAAGAGATTTTCTGTTTAGATATTGTAGGCCTTTATATAATGTAATCTTCATAGTACTGCGCAGTGTGAATGGAAATAAATCTTGAACAAATATGTTTTAAATTGTAGATTATAATTACTGTAATGTCATTTTCTCTGCAAATTTGTTCTACATCAGATATCTATACATTTTTATGTATGGCTGATGAGGGTCTTGTGTACTGAAATGCATTCCAGTAATAAAATTGCATTCTGATGATAGAAGTGTCATTTTGATGTTACCAGTAGCAGTGTGATAAGTCTCTGTTATCTCTACTATAGTATTTGAGATATTAGTTTAGTACAATTTTGTTCATCCATTTTGAAGTGCAGTAACTCCCATGTCTTTTGTCAAAAATTTCTGAAAATTTGCAGGAAAGTTTGTATAATAGGGAAATTGATGCTATTACATTTTGGTGGCTAAAGATCAAGGGGTTGAAGAGATAGAGTGGTGTCATATCTCGAGTGGGGTTGGACTTAAATGAACTTCATTTAAGTCCAACCCCACTCGAATGTATTCACTAGTTAACTTTTTTTATAAAACTTGTCTCTACCCTCAAAATTAAGCTTTCTTCCATTTTATAGTAATTAATAATATCAAAGTTTAAAATAAAATTTCACAACAGATGTAAGACAGAGAATTTTAAAGGTTTTTGCGAGGAAGATACACAACTTTTGCTAATTTTTTCCAATGGTACAATGATATCATGATCAACCAATGACAGTATACCACAGTTCCTATTCAGATAACATAGAACACCTTGCTGAGGGTCCTATATATACAGTATTAAAAAAACAGGCTTGTTGTATCGAATATACATATATTTGATACAACAATCAAATATACATATATATTTGATACAAGCCTTTTTTTATAAGTGTATACATATGTATATATATTTATATATACACACTTATTGCTATAAAAATAAAAATCACTGCACCAAGGAGTTGTCCAAATTAAACAAAACTGTACATGTGTGAATATAATTATGATATAAGTGATTACAAAATGAAAGCAAAAGGATCATTTATTGCAGGAAAAATTACAAATGAAAGGCGGTTCTAGCACCCTGTTGGGCTACCTCTAGTGTAAATACATGATGTGATACGAGCAGGTATGGAGGCATGTAGATACTGTATGGTGTCCTGCAGCATCTCAGTCCACAGTTGCTGCAAATGGTCCTCTACTTTGGTCAAACTCCTAGGCTGTCCAACTTGGTATCCCAGGTGATCCCAGACATGTTCAATCAGTGAAATATCAGGGGACCAGGCAAGCCAGAGAAGTGTGGCAATGTGATGGAGACAGTCCTGTGACACCCTTATTGTGTATGGTTGAGCATTGTCCTGTTGGAAAATGACTTGAGAGACAACACATGTGACTGCAGGATGTCACTAATATATCACTGGGTTATCATGGTCACTTGGATCATTACTAGAGGTGACCAGATGTCTTATATGATGGCACCCTAGACCACCATACCAGCTGTGGAGGCAGTGTGCCAGTCCAATGCATAAACAGGATTGATGCATTTACCACAGGGCCTCCAGACACAAACACAGCCATCATCACTGCCCAAACAGAATCTGTATTTGTCACTGTATATGATCCTGCTCCATTCTGTTACAGTCCAATCGTGTCAGAAGCAACACCACTCCAAACAAAAGCGACAATGGGTGGCTGTCAACAGCAAACACACATAATGGCCGCTTCAATACCAAATGTTCTTCATCCAGGAGCCTCAAAATGGTATGAACAGACACAGGAGCCTGTAATGATGGTGCCATCTGTGTCTGGATGGTGGACAACAATATAGTTGGCTGTGTGCATACTTGTCGGAGGACCAGGATCCTCTCGGCTATTTGGTGAGGCGACCATCCGGTTCTCTCAACCCAATGATTCCTCCCCTCTCTTAGTTGTTCATATGATCTTCGATTGCAATGTAAAGGCATCTCTAGTGATACAGCAACAGGAAAACTACAAACAGGATGCCTTTATGTGCTTTTTTTATAGGCCAGGGAGGATGCACTTTAACACTCTCTGCTGGCATTATGCAATGAGCGATCATGCTATAACTCTAATCATTTCCATATCTGCTTGAGACTTATTTGCATGCCAATTTTCTCAGCAATATGACAACGCCTCCTTGGTGTGCTAATTTTTTTGGCAATGAGTGTGTGTGTGTATGATGAGAACATGTATGATGAGAATATACATGATTTTATATATATATATAATTATGTATATTCACTGTATTTAAATGTGATCCGAGATCATTTTATAAGTTATCAGTAAATAAAATGGGTAAAAAGTGTAAAATCATAATATGGTGTAGAATTATACATCAATCCAGATTTCTTACCAGGAAACCATGACACAAGACCTATATCTAATAATTCTCGAGTTTCTGGATCGGTTAATTTTCTTAAGATAAGTTTTCTAGGCTCTGGAAGAGATTTAAGTCTAGCCATGTCTGTCATGACTTTATATGCAGCGGGACCCGATACTCTGATCACAGCTATAGCACATCGTCCCTGGCCGGAAGACAACGCATAAATTGTCTTGCCAGATATAGATGCATTCGAAGAACACCATCGAAAAAAGTGACGAACGGTATTTAACATTACACTTAAAACAAAATTCAGATTTATCCAAATAACACGTGTAGTTATTTACTTGCCATGCCATTTAATTTCCATTATTCGACAATGCGACCTCTACCGACATCAGAGATTTGAGAGACTGACATATTTACATCATATTTAATTTTCAAGGAGATTAAAGAATTATTTATCATGATTATTAAAACCATACATTGTTTAAATATTCAAAATAATTTTTCAAAACCATTTTATTTATATTTTTAATGAAAAAAGTCTCAATAAAAATAATCTAGAGAAAAGGATTTTTTTTAACTCTTTCCGCCCTGTGAGCACTAAGAAGGCCTCTTTTAGCAAGCCCATTATGGGTTCGGCCAGGCCCATAATGGGACGGCCAGGTGATGAGGGACGGGGTCCGACATATCCGGACGGGCCACCCCCTAAAAATTCCTGGGGATTATTCGTCCCGTCCCGGATCCCCCAGAGCGGTAGGCTGCCACTTTGACCGCTCGGCCATCCGGCCAATGATAGCATTGTGGTAAAATTTGATGGATACATAGCATTAGACAGACAATAACCATCTGAAAAATAAGTGAATAATTTAACTCAATTAAATTATCATTTATGAACACGTTTTTGTTATAAAATCCGCTCGTCCTATTGTGAACGTGGCAGAATCCATTATGCATCCATATCGAATCCATACAGCCCAGACATATCACTGTCTGATTACCATTTGTTTGGACCACTCAAGCAGACATTGGAAGAATGATTGAAAATTGATAAACAGATAGAACACTCTGTGCAACTAACTTTGGGCACAACTCACTAGTTTCTATAATGCAACAATCAAAACACTGATAATCAGGTGAGAAAAGTGTTTAAACACTTTTCAGATAGTGATATGTCTGGGCTATATTCAGGATATTCAACAAAGGTCTCGATGCATTTGCATTATTTTCTCTTGAATTAGAGTGTCGTTGTTGTATAGGAACAACATGTTTCAGACTGGATACCTCATTCTTTAGACTAATAGTCTTCCTTGACTTTATCCAACAGTTTGCAATAGTAAGCAACATTAACTGTCCTTTGTTCATCGAGGAAATCAATGTATACACACTCTGTAATTCCAAACATAGTGACAAGAACCTTATCCACAATTTGGAACATAAAACGTGTAAGATTAAGACAGTTTATCAGAATAATTCGTGAAGACACTATTTAAATGAGTCGCGTAACTTTCCCAGCATAGACATTTAAATTTGGGTATGCCGCCATCTGTTACGATGTTCTATTAAAAAACTTTATGTACTACTAATTATTATAAAATGGCAAAAAGCTTAATTTTTAGGTTATAAATCAGTTTTATTTTTTAAGTGCTAATGAATAATGTAAATGCTAAGTGGGAATTTGTGTCCAAAAGATTTTTTTAAATAAAATGTCCTAATAGATGGCGACACACAATTTTATAATTTGGCCGGGAAAGTAAAGCAACTCGTTGCGAGATTTATAAAATTATCAATACAGTATTGATTAATTATTATGTTAATATTAATATTGAAAATATTAAAAAGAAATTTTTCGCTTCAATATGTCCTGTTAAAATATACATAACAATATAGCATATGTTACCTATAGGCCTGTATATTATAGGCTGATGCTTGGTGCTACAATTATGCTCTACGTCTCTGACTAATTACAAGGTTTTTAATTAAAATATATTTGAGGTGGAGCGTTAGCGAAGTCTCTTCTATGTGGCTGAGAGAGTTGCATTCGTTCTCAATATCTGTTCCATCGATTTTGATTAAACTTTGCCATTTCACATTAATTGCGATGAAGAATCCAAAAATGTTATAAAAATGTGTGTCCGTGTGTTCGTTTTCAAGATATTAGGTTGTAGCACTAGCGCTTGCGACAAAGCGATATCGCACGAATCTCTCGACTTTGTCGTGCGATGTTTCAAGATCGCTAGCACGTTTTCTATGGGCTTATAGAATTGAGTTTCTTCTCAAAATTTAATGAGCCAATTTTTATAAAACCTCGCCATTTTTTATTAAATGCAATGGGGAATTCAAAACTGTAATGAAGGGCCATTTAAATGTAAAAAATGGGAGTCCATGACTTTGTTTTCAATATACAGTATATATGTCAATCTGCTTTCTAAAATGTACAATATACACGTGATCTCACATTTTTTACAAATTTAAAAAATTTTTATTTTGATTCATTCTGAAAATAAAAGTCGATATTTTTAATTAAAATATGATAAAAATTTCAGCTCGGCATTGTGACGTTACAATAATAATTACCATTCCGACTGTTATATAGGCTAGGACGGGCAACTTTCACGAAATATTCTGATAAAATGTCTTAATCTTACACGTTTTACGTTCCAATGTTCCTGACAATCATATTGATTTTCATTTCGAATAAAAAAATAAAACCAATAGTTTAAATGTTATAAGATCTAACCGTTGAGAAAGTTTAGACACTAGACTGATTTCTATAAATTATTCTAGTGAAAAAATTGCCAAAACAACACGAATTAGAACATTTTATTTGTCATTATTTAGCATTAGATTCCTTTCGAAAGCTCTTCAGTACGATCTACAAACTTTAAAACCAGAACGCAAATATAGCAAAATTAAAAAAAACACACAGACACACACAAACACAGATTCATTCAATTAACGTAATTTTATTAAATGTATAAAACAAATAATAATTACACAGTATACAGGCCTACTATAGGCTAATAAACATCATTAATAAATAAAGAATTTTCGTAGTAAACGAGGAAACTTATTCGTTGGGGACCTCTTCCGTTTTCTCCGTCTCCCTCACTGCAGGGACCCTCTGCACGGTTATAGGAACAACTCTTTCGTTAGACGGTAATTCTTCGCGTTTTTTAGGCGCTTCCACCGTCAACACTCCGTCGCCACTCAGAGACGACGTCACCTTCTCGGGATCGACTTCCTTAGGAAGGACGTATCTGCGGGTAAACTCTCTGGACACGAACCCGTGTTGATCCATCTTCTCCTCGTGTTTTCCGTGTATCACCACGCAATTGTCCACGGTTTTGACGGTGATGTCTTCCGGAGAGAAGTGGCTGACGTCGGTCATGACCCGGAAGTGGTCTTTGGTGTTGACTACTTCGGAAACACCGGAACTAGAATCTTGGACACTCGTCTGGCATCGCGGTCTGACGATAAATCCGCGATATGACGTCGGAGGGAAGAAATCCTAATCTGTCAGACCCAAACCGAACTGTTGATCGAATAATCGGCGAGGATAATCCCACACGTCGCCTAGTAAAGCGGGTAACAACAATCGAGACATTTCTGATTCTCATAAATGTTATACGGGGGGAAATAATCCCCTGCGGAGTGAAAAAAGGCAGCCACCCGCATCCGCAATAACTGTCTAATCCTCGAAACAGTACCTCCTCGCTTCACAGAGCTCCACCTTAGAATGTAAGGCCGTTCTCTGTGCCGCGAGGATAGAAAAAACTATTAGAAATAAACAGTGGTTGTTGCCTCGTCACACAAGCCAGTACGGCAAGGGAGTCAACGGCCATAAGACTGGAAAAGACAGTATCCTATCCCATTGAACAGGTGACAAGGAAATCATTGGATAAACAGGAACTGGGCAGAAACCGTCAAAAGAAAAAAAAAAAAAACTAGTCCTGTATGGGAGAAGACACAGGGAACAGACAGGTCGAAAGGAAGGTGGAGGTCCAACACGCAGAAGGGTGGAGTCCACAATCCAAAGAAGACAAAACAGAAGACTTAAAAGTTAAACTATTCTATCTTACATGCTATTGTGCACTTAAGAGGATAAATCGTTAAGAATTGGTTTACCATCCTTCCAGGTCCAGAGGATCTGGTTGGGGGTATCCCATAGAGAATTGAAATTTGCCCGTGACAAAGATTTAAAGTCCGAGAGCAGCTTGCGAGCTAAAGCCTCGCGGATTTTGATTCGAAAGAGGCAGTGGGCAGTGTTTTTGTGATCAAACACCTTCCTACACCTGGCCAACCATATCTCGTGTTTAGCCATATGAATTAGGAGACTAATCACATAGGGAGATACAGTGCCTTTGCTAAAAAGGATGTGGAGAACAGCGTTCTCACATGACAGAAAGGGCAGACCAAGGAGGGGAGTTATCCAACTCCAAATCTTCCTTGCAACCCTACAGAAGTAAAAGAGATGTGCTGCCGTTTCAGGCGAAGAATTGCACATTGGACAGCTTTCACTCACAACGTAAACTCCGATAGACCGGAGCTTAACCTTGGTGGAGAGTGCATTATGCAGTAACCTCCACTGAAGTTCGACGCAGTGTTCGGAAATAAGCCCATCAAAACATCTGCGCCAAACAGTGGCCCAATCAATAGAGGCCTGAGTGTTTAATGGATAGAGGGATAGCAAGGTATCGGGCCTAAGGTGGCGATAGATTTCGCAAGCCTTAGTTTTAATCGAAGGAATATTCCCAGATTGGGAGAGACTGAGTAGGTGTGTGCACCATACTTTCACAAAGGGTGGTGGATCCAGTACCTTGGGCATGAGGTTTACCTTGTAATCAGGTAAAAGTAACTTAAGGCGATACTTAAGAAAAAAGCTATATAGCTTACTTACCGGGTGATCACGGGCACTAAGGTCTAGAACTAGCTGCCTAATTTGGGTAGCAGCAGAAAAGAGGGTGGGTTCAAACATAGCCCAGCCACCGTTTGCTCTGGTATTATACATTATATCTCTACTAACCCATTCGGGTTTATTGCCCCAAACAAAACGAAAAAGGGGGCGATTAATATGCCGAAAGCCTGCGTCCAGGCCGAAAACAGAGGCATAGTATACACAAATACCAAACATGATGTTTTTGTAGACAGCTATTCTACTTGGAAAGTAGAGATAGCTTCCCGTCCAAATGGAAATTTTATCCCTAATTTTAACTTTAATCTCCTTTAAGTTATGTTTGGCCGAGTCGGCACCAAAGTATAAACCTAAAATCTTAACCCTACTGCTCACAGGGATGTCAGAGAAAGACACAGGCAAAGAGATAGAGCCAACAAGAGACAGAAAGGAAGATTTCCCCTTGT